GGTGGGGGTGGAGGTGGGGTGGGGGTGGGAAGTGGAAGGCAGCGCTTTGCTCTATGAGTACCATTGTTGTTTTTCATCGTGTCGCAGCAGAAAGGGAGTGGTGAGTAGGAAGAGCAGCAGATAGCAGGAGGATGGATAGTGGTACGAGTTCGAGGAATGGAGACAGAATTATAATGAATCGCAATGCAGACTTTAACCAATTGACAGTAGCCAATCAGCAGCCACGGGACCTTGTGGTCAATCCATGCCATGTCTCAAATGGCTGATTTCCACGCTTGTTCTCGTCAGTACCCTCATCTTCCAAACCAACCCTGTGTCCCTACATACTCGCTTGTTTCTCAATCACCAGATCCAAATTTGATGGAGACAGGAGGACTGCAACCTTCAACCATGCTACGACCTCTTCTCACAGGCTGTAAGCCGCAAGTTCCATGGTTTGTGCCAGCTGCAGGGTACCTTCTCCCAATAGCAAGTCCCTAAGTCTTACATACACTTACCAGTACCCTGACCTGATGCGGCCAGCATAGCCGTCCAAAGGCTTCTAAAGAAAGCTCTTTGCCTTTTCTTCTCAGCGACGTAGGCACGGTAACCGCCGGAAATTGCGGATGCTCCAGAGGTTTGGCAGACTACTGTAGACGTAGAGCGGCCAGTCTGGCCACTGTGTTGTGTTGAAGCATGGGCATGAGGTACAACTACCAGAGGCAGCTCTTGCGAGAAGCAAGGAAGCGCCTGGAAAAAGGCATCTGACAATCGGCAGTACGCAAGCAGTCTTGGTGCCAAGCAAGCTGCGGGATGATAACCACCAGACATGCATCCAACAAGTGTAGACGGATGAGGTGGGTTTGTTGGCTTTCAGGTGGCGAAGGCAGATTGGCAGGATATCTCCCGATCATAACGCAGCTTTTTTAAAGCTCCAGAAGGATTTGTTTCCAACAAAGTGCATGGTCAAGTTTGATTCAAGCTTCAAGTGGACCAACGCTGCGGAGCCCCTCTATGCAACCTGGTGATGACAGGCTGTGGCATGGGCGATCCTAGAAGCCCTGCTTTGGGCGAACTGCAGCGGGTGACCCGGAAGCTTTGGCTTGGCTGTAGAGGAAATGCGGAGTGAACACGGAGCTGTTTCGTGTCTGGTCCAGGCCACTCATTGCCTCAGGCCGCCACTTTTGAAATCAAGTGCAACACTGAACTCGGCCGACTTGCAGGCTACAAGGAGGGCAGTGCATCTCGGCAGGCTGAATGCAGCATTGAGTTGCGCTGCGAATGTTATAGCATTGCACCCAGAAGGCCCAACTGGATCGTGCAACTGTGACCCTGTACGAGCGTGAGCGATCTACAGGTCGGCTGCGCAATGTTGCCGGAGATGTGGAATGCCAATCTGTGAATTCAGTGCAGGGGAAAGCCTCGGTCGTGCACGAGTTGAGCAGCTCCTTGCACAAGGGTAACCTCAGCAGAGCTAAGATTTCATGTTGGATGCCTCGCATTGTTGAGCAGGTGCGGTGAGTACCTCACATTGGTGGAGAAAGGCGAATTCAAGCAGGCATTTCACTTTGCAGCACGATGCGGATCTGACCTTGGCACAACAACTGAGCAGGTGTGCATCATCTGTCGGGCGCGACGGAAGATGCGATCGCATCACTGCAAGGATGCGGGCATAAAACTGTGGACGCAATATCTTGTATTACCTGTATTACCTGTATTACCTGTATTACCTGTCATGCCCAGAGACTCAGATTTGACTGTTCTGCCGACGAGGGAGGAGTAGAAGCAGTCAAGACGTTGAACTCACCAAAACCTCGTAAGCTGCGCAAATTTGCTTCACGGCTCTGCTCACAGGTGGACAGAGATATTTTGCAATGCAGTACAGACGAGCGGGCTTGATTCGTGAGATGCACTCTCGAAATATTGATCGTTGGACTGTCTTGACAGGCCATGTAAAGTTGCGAAGCTCCGCAGTGGATGCTCAAGTGATTGATTGAAGGATAGGGGTACACGTCGCAATGATCCCTTTGTTGCATATATGCGGTCGGCTACTTCTGCCGGCTGATCTGGCCGGAGTACTTGAAAGGAAGGGGGGCGTTGCGTCGAGGCTTGGAGGCCACCCTGGTGAGAACAAAGACCTCAGGGCCCGGCAAAGCAATTAAGACCTTACAGCTGTATGTTGCCACTGATGCATGGGTTCAGGCTCCTGAGTGGCTAGAGGTTGGCTGGAACATCTGGGAAGAACTCTCCAAAGAGGCTGGCCTTAGCGAAAGGGATTTTCTTCTACCAGTGCCTGGACCCTCTTTGGAAACGCTCACTAGAAAGGTGGCGTCTTATACAGATGCGGCTGCGCTCTCCAAAGCGCTCTTGTCCGGACTGGTGGCGGGCCATGACCGTGGTAGGCTGCTCCTCCCAGGGTTGCCAACGTTCTGGACGGAGCACTCGGAAAGAGTGACTCTGAGATCTTGGGCGAGTGCTGCCTCCAGGGGGTGGCGCTCAAACGTTTGGGGTGCTGCAGAGCGTGCAGACGTCGAAAAGGCCCAGGTCAAGATCGCCAGGTTCACTAAGGCCTCCAAAGGGAAGGCGGACCCCGTGGACGAGGAGGCCCTCTTGTCCAAGGTCAGGGCAAGACTTGTTGAGCAAGGCGTCGAGCCCTCCGTGGTTGGCGAGCAATTGTCGCTCCTCTGGTTCTTTGGCTCGAGTCTGGCCATGCCAGCTACTCCCGGGGTTGACTCGCAAGAATCAGCATCCGAGAGGTTCTCGGACGGTTCGGATTCGGATGTGGCCGCTCCTGCGGAGGAGGTTCAGAGCTGGTTCCGCAAGAATCCATGTGTGCCAAGTTTTTCATCAGTATTGTCGGTCGTTCGCGGAGACGAACCCTGCAAAGGACTGGGGAGTGCTACCGGAAGCCAGGTATGTGTTAGAGGGAGTACCGCGACCTCGGTGATACCTGGCCGGCCAAGAGCGACTACCACAGGGCATGTCGGGCTTGTTTTCCCAAGCAGCGTGAGGGCTGCTTGGGAGGTAAGCTCCTCCGACTTGAAGTCGGGGGAGTGAAGATGGGCTCGAGGGAACAAGATCCCTCTTGCGTTGAAAGAAGAAGAGTTAGGAGAAGAAGATAGCTTGGACATGTTCCTGCGTGGTGTAAGAAACCAGTGGGTCATTGTCTGAGTAAAGCCGGTGTGTCCAACACATGTCTGTCGAGTTGTCCAAACAGCGCAAGACACTTGTGCGAAGAGTTTGTTAGCGGTGCACACAAATGTGATTCTTGGTTCAGGCTTGGGCTAGATAAAAGTTTGTGTTCCACATGGCGGGGCCAGATATCAATACTGAAGATGACCACAAGGCGTTAGCGTCAAAGCTAGACGCTGATTTTTCAGGACTAGCTCAGTCCAAAGGTATCAGTTTGCGGAAGCAGGCTGAGTTGGGCAACGTTGCAATTCTCTCCATCTCGCGGTACTCTGCCAGCAGACGATCGCGCAGGACTCAGGACGTTCTGCAAAGATGTACTCCGCTTGGATCCTGCCACAATACCATCTCATCTAATTGAAGTGGCTGCCTTGTTGGATCTTTGGGAATCCTGCAAGACTCGATCTGATGCGCAACATAAGGCAGATGCTGAGGCTGTCCTGAGCAAACTTCCCAGGGCAGCAAACAAGTCAGAAATTCAAGATATAAAGTCCCGCTTTGAAGCCCTCCACTACCCCTTGGATGATAAGGCCATGCCATCTTCAGCCACCCTAGAGTTCCGCTTCGATATGGTAGAGCAGGGTGAGCTGCGGCCCACTACCCTCAGTCAGTGTGTTAGCCGCGAGCATTCAGAAGCTGAGCAGTACGGGGCAGTGATTGACACGTCCACAGGTGCCATCAAAATCAAGAAGGGCTTCAGCGAAGGCAAGAAACCCGCTTCTCCCGAAGAGTTCCGGGCATCCATTAAGCTGGTGGCGCACGCGTGGGACATGTGCTTCATTAGATATCCAAACAAGCCATTCCTGAAGGATGTCTCCGTGTCGCAATGGCAGCGGTACGCAGACGACATCCTGGGCGAGCACGTGCGCAGGCTGTCAGCCAAAGACAGTCAAGGGCACGAGTTGTCAGCTCCACCTTGGGGCCTCGTTATGGCCCATGATTACCAAATTCGTCGAGGAATGGCGCGCCTTATCAACGAAGGCGAGTCCTTGGTAGCTGCCTTGGATCAATCACAATGAAAGACTCCGTCATCAAAGAGAGATACTTCGTGACACCATGTGCACTGACTGCATTGTCAGCAGCTTCTTCCAACCGCTCTAGGTCTCCTCTGCCTCGAAATTATCTTCAGGCTATCCCGATCAGGCGCGGTTCCCAAAGGGCAATTGGTCAACTTTTCCACCCAAGTGGTTGAGGCGGCCGTCGAGGTTTCAGAGCTCCGCCCTGACCTACCTTGTTTCTTTCTTTGGGAGCACACTGAAGATCTAGGCACGTGTGTCAGGGAAGAGGATTTTTATGCGTATTCAGCCTGCGAGTGTCTGGCAGTTGGATGGGGTCAGACCCATGGTCAACCGCGGTCGGCCGCCGATATTTACTTCAACCAGTGCTGCTTCGGAGCGCTCTATCGCAAGCCCACAAGACTCCTCGCAAATTTGCCGATGCTGAGGTCTTGGGGGCCAAGCGACTGGCCGTTGATAGATGATGACGATTTTTTTTCAACATGGGTCTCTTTCAGGCTGCTTGCCCATGCGCCCCATCCATATCTCTTGCTCGAGAGCGCCACGATCAGGACTTCAAAACATCCTCTACATCAGCTTCTCCTGCCAAGATGGATGCGGCAATCAGCTCAGCAATTCAGCACGCCTTCAAGAGTGTCACGTTTCCTTCAGGCGGGGTTGTAACGTGCCAGGTAATGACGAGAACAAGCTCCACATCGTCGGCGCAGACCTCGTCCATTCAAGCCCGAGCGAACATCCCCTGTGCAGAGTCCAAGCAGGTCTCTGGCCTGGCTTGGCCGTCTTCGGCTCAGGTCTCTGAAGAAGGTATGGGGGAGAGGGACACCAATTATGGCATGGTACAAAGTCCCGTCGAGGCCCACTCACGATGGTGGGCGGCTCGTTCTGGAGCTGATCTTGCAGGAGGTGGGGGGCTGTCGTATGGTGGAAGTCTGTGATTGGCCACGTTATCCGGTTGATTGCTTTCGCATTGATGCGAAGGCGGAGAAGGATGACATTGCGCTGGGCGGATGGGAGGCAAGCCTCCTGAAAAGGCTCTATGGTTTTCCGTTCGATTTTCGAGATCTTCGGCTCCATGGGCCTTTGTAAAAGGGGAACCCTATCGGTCAATAGCCGCGTTGGAGCTCACGGCAGTTCTCATTGCCGTTGCAATCATCCTTTTCAGCAAGTTCGGTTCCTTGAAGGGCGTATTTGCCTCGGGCGCCCTTCCAGCACTAACAGACAGCAAGGTGTCGGCGCGTGTGATAGACAAGTTCCTGTCAAGCTCGTTTCCTTTATCGGTGGTATTGATGGAGGTAAGTCTTCAACTCCACAGGATGAACGCAAGGCTGATGTTGCGATGGATCCCTAGAGAACAAAATATTCAAGCTGACGCACTTACAAACAAAGTTTTCCATAGCTTCTGGGAGGAGAATCGTGTTCATATGGATTTCGAAGATATTGACTTCTTGATCCTTCCAAAGCGAATGAGGGCCGCGCAGGAGGTAGATGCTGAAGTTCGCGTGAAGAAATCGAAGAGAAATTCAAGTGCCCCATTGCAGGGAATACCTGTCAGGAGAAGAAGGAAAGGCGAGACCAAGTGGAAAGATCCTTGGTGAGGACGGGTCTTGTGCGTCTAAAGTAGGGAAATTCGCCCAAGACATTTCCGGTCTATCGGGTGTGCCCCAAGGGATGTGTTAAGAGGGCTCCCTCCTGCTTGTGTGTACTGATCGAGAAGGAGTGCGGAGTGCGCAATCCTGAAAAATGTGCTCTTCATCAGGCGAGGGGGGGTAAGGGTGGCTAAGTGAATGCACTGCGGAGTGACGATGTGGACTGTCTTGACAGGCCATGTGACGTCACGAAGCTCCGCAGTGGATGCTCAAGTGATTGATTGAAGCTTCCTCCTCCCCACCACCGCCAGTTTCACGGGAGCCGAGGGGGAGCACGTACTGATTGAGAAGGAGCGGGAAATTCGCCCAAGACATGTCCGGTCTATCGGGTGTGCCCGATGGATGTGAGAGAGGGCTTCCTCCTGCTTGCGCGTACTGATTGAGAAGGAGTCCTGAAAAATGTGCTCTTCATCACGTGCAGGGGGGGTAAGGGTGGCTAAGTGAATGCACTGCGGAGTGACGTGCAACATTTTATTCTGATTCAAAGTCTTTCCTTAGGCTGCAATTTCTTAGGAAAATCACCCCGTTGGATCTTGTGGCGCAAGAATGAAACTTCAAATCTGAAGTCCAGATGCCTAGTGCGGAGCATGGGACAAGCTAGCAACCCCATGCTTTGCGCACGGATGGAGTCTTCTGAAGTTGCTCAGGGTCATGAAATGTCAACACCCTAAAGAGTGGTTGTCCAGTACCGATTGCGTTTGGCTAATCTTTCTCAGCCAATCTGCCGGAACATAAAATATAAGTTTTGGTATGGAATCTACATTGCGTCTCGTGCAAAGCGCTATATAGGCTATATATAGGGTCCTTTAGGAGATGCTATAAGGCCTAGAAAGGGCCGGCTTGCAGGGGTTGTAAAGGTTACTGTGAATATCTCCGTGTGGTCAGTCAATGTTAACCTAGGTCAGTTAGTGTAGATGTGTTCGTGATAGCTG